GATACAGTATCTGAGATCGGAATCCGGATTGTCGCGGAACTCGAGAGAAACTGCACAACGTGCGTGGCGATCGGTACAATCCGAAGCTGGAATAGCACGTACGATAGATGCGCTACGGGAAAAGGTGGTTGAGGAAAAGGGAGTAGTTTATTGAGCTCGAGGAAGGGCTAAGGCTGCGACCTTGGCGTGGCAATGAGACCGTGTCGATCACTGCAAACTTCCTCCTACTCTCACGATCAGGAACGAGGCAGCTGACTTCGTGCTAAGTACTGTGATGTGCACGTCGCGATCGTGTGCGATATCACACGAGCGCACAGAGCGCAACTCTCACATCCCTGATTTGAGTTAAATTCGTAAGGCCCCCACATGCCCCCGCCCTTTTGCTTGAAGAACACTGGTGGACGGACACTGCTGGAAGGACACTGCTGGAAGGACACTGCAATTATCTACATTCATCACATCAAATTGTAGATTTCTTTAATTGGTCTGCAACGTGTATTACGTATTGCAGAAATCATTCGTGAAAGGTGCTACCGTAAACTCTCTATTAGAGAGATTACGAAGCTCTAAAAATACGACAAATTCACGACAAATCTTGGATATGCGGGACAGGTGTCATTGCCTAACGAGAATTGCTCCCTGCACCGTAGAATGATTTCGTTGGATGCAACCCCATAACGAAATTAAAAAAAGTACCTCAGAACCACCCCTCTATATGCGTTTGATTCAATCATGCTTTTGGTGCCGGAAACCGAGGAAGGACGTTTGAACACCCTGCATCAACGCCCTTTCCATTGCAAACAACATCACGCACCCCATCTATCCCTCTCACTCTCCACCATTTTGTATCCCCAACACCATGGCATCCCCCTCCTCTCGCGCATTCACACCTCCACTGACCCTTCCTGCATTGTCCCCGCCCCCTCCGTCTCATGAATCTTACGCCACCCTCGCCCGGACCTCTCCTGTTCCGACACGCCACGAAGGCAACACACCCACCTCTCAGACCACGGCTTCTTCCCCTCCGCCTGCAAACTCCATCTCTGCAGCCGCTCTCCAAACTGCACCTACGCAGTGCGGCGACCCCTCTTCCCCACATACACGCCAGCAAAAATTTGCTCCTCGCTCTAAGCGCTTCCGCTTCAGCGACTCGGCCGACATCCTGCTTTTGAAAGCGGTGTCGGTTGCGGAAGCGCATGTGGCACCATGGGGTCGAAAAGACATTTTATTTGAGGAAGCTCACTCTACATTCGTATCCACGGCGCCCCCGGCGTTGTTAGGAGATAAGGACCCGCCCTCCCAGAAGAGTTTAGAAGATCGGTTCAAGGTGGTTATCTCGAAACGACGTTCGGACAATAAGAAATCCATGGTATCGTCGGGACAAGTGGAGGTGTATGCGGAGAGGGAGACGCTGCTCGACGATCTCATTTTAGATATGGACGAGAACGCAGAGGGGGAGCGGGCGGCCAAAGACCAACGTCTGGAGAAGGAGAAGCGTTTGGCAGTTGCTGGGGAGGAGCTGAGGAGCATGGCGTTAAACCGGACAGCTCGTGGTGGGGGGGAGACCGCGGGTCATACTGTAGAGGTGGAAGCAGATAACCGTTCTCAGGGTACTGCTAGTCGCGCTTCGCCCGGAGGGGGGAGGAACCCCAATGTTGGGAAGACAAGGCGGAGAATCAATTACGAGTCCGACGAGGATACCACCGAAGCCCTTGTACGGGATATGGAGTCGCGTACGGAGCAGGACAGTCGGCGGGTGGAGTTGGAAGAGAGAAGATATGAATTGGAAAAGAGACGTGTGGAGGAAGAGGGAAAGCGGTTTGACGTCGTTCAAGCGTCAAAACGACGCAAGCTGGATGTAGAGGACAGAAAGATGGGTGTGGAAATTGAGGAACAGAAAATGGCCATTCTCGAAAGTAGCAAGATGATCGACGTGTTTGCGGCCCTTCCCAACAAGTTGCAGTGATCTCGCCCGCGCGCTTCGCGCTTCGCGCTGTGCGCGCCGCGCGCATATTTTACTCTGCATTGAGATACTGGGTCAGAGTGGGTGGGGCGCACTTGAAGAACGTTTGCACCTGCCCTCCGGCTTCAAGACATGTTTTGAAGTTCAGCAATAAAGCTGAGCTCATATATATGAGTCCAATGGGCGCCTGTCGGACATTTAGAGCACGTGCGTAGTCGTTTAGAGACCAAAGCTGCTTGAGGTCCTTGTAGCTCCATTCGACTGATACGCGCAGAGCACTCATCCTAGTATTATATATTTCCTGTTCTACAGATGCCCATATACGGGGAAATGCTACTTGCATACAGGGCCGGATCATATACGCAGCATCACCGTAGTGATAGTACTGCCTATCGACTATAGTTAAACAGCCCTGTAGTCGCTCCTCAAGTTTGCCCTGCCGGAGAAAGGTTAAGTCATGCCTTCGACCCACCTCAGGACCATACAAAGAAAATATTAATCCATCCGGTGTTGTAACTGTTTGATAGATTAGGCAGTGAATGCGCCTGTACCCCGAGTAGCAACTGCGTTGCATACTACCGTGTCCGCCTGGCCTGTTCATCTTGATCTTCGTGCAGTCAATAAACCCTACACAACTGTCTAGGGGCGCACCTGCATTTTGGATGCTATCTGCATACAAAAACGCCCTCTCCGCCAACATTCCTTCACGTAGATCAGTTAGCAGGTACCCCTCTCCCTCAATAAATGTTTCTAACACCTCCCAAAAGATTTCACTCAACGCAGGTGCATGCATACCGAATAAGTATTCGACATCTTTCCAACGGCATGGGGATGCAAGCTTGCGCATAACTATGCAACAGGCCGTTATAGGATCGCACTTGTAACCATTGCGCTTAGTCCTCCCGGATACCCAGCCCATGCATGCACTTATTCGGGTGATGTCTTTCACCTAGAAACGAAAATCCCTTAAGGACCACTCGTCTGAATACATGTTGAGGTTAGAAGTGTTAGAAGATATGCAGACAGATCTAAGCCGTATGCGTAGTATATCACCACGAGAACGCATCGCTTTGTCGCATTCTCGTATAAAATACGGCAAAGGTGCGTTAATTGCATGCAGTAGGAGCATGCGTCTGCGTTGATACCGATATCGCTGCATTGCACGCGCAAGAGAAAAATCGGTTTGCGGCATGATGGTTGCACTGGTTGAAAATTCGTGGTGATGGGTGAGAGGTTAGCGTTCAGACAGGATGGAATACGTATCGTAAACTTTAGCTTGTAGTGGGGACGTCTCTTACTCGCCGGCGATGGGATGCCGTGTGCTAGTTCTCATATTTACACCATATTTGGTCTTTCGTAATTACATATGAGAACAAATCTGCTATAAATGTTCCACAAAATTTTCCGTAGATTTGTAACGAGATTTAAGGATAAATTGTAGCTTCGTAATCTCTCTATTATTCCTCCCCACACGCAACGCGCGCCACGGAGCCCACTTGTCTGTACAGTACGGGTAAATTTATCACATTCACATGAATCACTTTCAGGTGAACGGCAACAAAGTAGGGGGGGTATACTTGTACAGTACAATCCTCTTCCCTTTTCGTCCAAATCCGCATCCCCTCCAATCCCGCAGATTCCCGCCTCACATATATCGCCCACGTGTCGCCTTACCATTCGCTGTCTCCTCCAACTGGGCAGCACGTCTGCGCGCGTCACCCCTACCCGCCCTGCAGCCCAGCCCCTCCACTGCCCCAGCCCGTCCCCGCGGCGCTTACACATCGCGCTCCGCCCCCGCCCGCCCTCTCGTAGGGTTTTGAAGCCTTACGAAGACCAAACAACTATATGGCGGAGAGCACGCACGACTGAATACAGTGGGCGCACTGGAGTGCACCGAAGGCTTTCACACTTCTCAGGCACTGCCATCATCGTCTTGAGTTATGCGTGCCCTCCGTGATGAAGTTCTTCGAGTGACATACTTTTTTGCGTACTGCGACGAATTCTATGTCCTCGATCTACCGGATCTACTGAAATGTTTTGCCGACATACACGGAGATAGAGA